CCCCTCCCCTCTCCGCCGGGAGAAGGAGGGGGGGGTTGTGGATCCTGGGCTGTGCAACAACAGAGATGTTGATTTTAAAAGACTTACCTTGCATGTTTCAATTGTTCTTTTGCTAAAAGATGCTGGTGATGGACCATGATTTAGGTTTTAGAGAAACCATTTGGGAATCATCCTCCTGAAATTCAAACTCCTTCAAGACAAGATGTTGCAACAATTGGATACCATCTCATTCACAATTGAGAACTGAAAAGTTCCTTATTGGGGGTTTTTAACTACAAAGAATGGTTAAATCTGAATGATAAAACTGTATCAAATCAATGAAGGTAAAAGGAACAAAAAAAGGTAAATAAAATGACCTTTAACCAAAATGAACTATGAGAGGAGAACAAACAGCAAACAGCAAAAGAAGAGAAGCATATGTCCCATTTTTCATCCCTTTGAGATGTATAATATTTTCTTTCATGGAGGGTCAAAATTCCTAACTTGGCAGTGAAACCGCACAAAAAAATTTCAAATCCAGCTGTAAGCTGTATGCAATTCAAGACTTCAATTCCAAAGATACTTGGAGCTCAAAAGTTTTCACTCGGCAAGCTCTGTGGAGGTGTTAGATCATCAATCCAATCAGCATAAATGCGATTAATTTTCTTGGTTGTTTTCCACTTATCCTCCCCTTCTTTTGTGGGAGCACCAATCCCTTTATTAATAGGAGCAGCATCAGTTGCAGGAACAGAGAGAGGCTTTGTTGGAATGGAGCCAATATTCATCATCATTTCAGCCTCAATGAGTCCACTGGGCACCTGCAACTCTGTTTCCGGCAATGAGAATTTCACCATTAGTAAGTATTCAATTTCTAACTTGAGAAAAGACATATTAAAAATTCCAGAACCAAGAGAATACAAACAATTACTAAGTATATGTAGGAGTTCAAAAATGTTGTGCTTTCATATGACATGGCCATTGGCAATAAAACTGAAAAAAATTAAAAAAAATTGATGCCTCCAAGTTGAAATAAGAATGTGCTTGCTCCAAACACCATGGAAGCGCCTGTGACCAGGATAGCATCAGTAGAATTCAACACGAGCATGCAAACCACAGTTTCAACATCGCTGTGAAGATAGCCCTAATCTCCAATTGACATAAACCTTGCTTGTTTAAGGAAAATTAGGCTTAGCTCATACAGAATTCAATTTATTACATCACTTTTGTCTATATTGACATAACATTGATCACTTTTAACAGGGAAACTCGCATAGCACACATATTTCAGGCAAGCACAACAATACATCTTTTAGTTCCGATGTAACAGTACAATTCACATGAACAATTCAAACAAGAAGTAGTGCCTATGACCAGGTAAGCACAGTATCATTATAGACCAACAAAAAGCTGATAGAAATAGAATACAAGAAATCAACAATCTTAACATTTATATGAATAACAACATATAATACAGCTTCTTTGGTACATATTTCAGACAAGCTATTGTGAAAGCAACTCATATCCTCAACAGGATATTCCTAGTAATGCAATTGTGAAAGAAATCAGATCATCTGGCTAAACTAAGGTTACTGTCATGGTATTTCATGAATCGGACAAGCTCAAATTAAAAGGTATTGCGTCCTAGACTCGGACTGGCCATCATATCTCCACCTCTTGGGCAGTAATAAAATCAACCATGAGCCCTGTTCAAGACTTAAAATTTCAGCAAAACACTCGAGCGCATGAAAGACAGTTCTACAAGAACATTAGACCCAACGTTCTAACCCACAGACTGATGACCTAATTATGGGCTGGAATTACCAAAACTTCATCCATGACTCACATAAGTAGGCCCAACTTTACTGCTTCATGGCATAGCTAGAAACTCTTCTCAACTTCTCTGTTTTCTAATTCCAGAAAAGCTAATGCCATTTTCCAAATTCTTCTAAATTTAGGACCATCCTATATGTCTCTTGAGGCCTAGTTGTAGGCTTAGAACAAGAAAGTTTACAACACATAAAATGCTTCAAATATATCATCTTGGTGAGTCATGATGATGTGGCCAATATGACTTGGCGATTAGGTAGTATTATATGGTACTCTATATGAGAGAAACAATGCAAAGATGGATTGCTTTGTAGAAATTTGGTATGACAAGAAAATAAGCAATCCATAAATTTCTTGTTAGTAATCTTTGTCACAAAGCATAAGCAAACATAACTTCATATATATGCAAAAAAAAATAATCAATTTATACTTCTTAAAGATGAAAACTTTTTGCTTTGATCAAAAGGCAATTTATCAAGATTTGGCTCCCAGAAAAGAACTTCTGAAACAGCATAACTTTTTTTGAATTTACGCTCTCAAAATCCAAATAAATTAAACGTAAATGCCCATTACAAAGAAAAAGCATAACTTTTTCAATTTATGCTCTCAAAATCCAAATAAATTAAACGTAAATGCCCATTATAAAATTCCTTATTCACCTATGCTTTATTTTCAATTTCAGAGTGATAGATTGGAATTATAATTTCTACAATATATCAGGCTGAATTCGTCAAATTAGATTGTTCGGATACTAAATACATAGTCCGTCTCCCCTTCAGAAAATTTCAAAAGTTAATGCAAATAAAAGTAAAGTCTTTTCTTTTTCTTGTGTTATTTAAGTTTTGGTCATTCATCTTAAAGAAGCAACACCAAATCCATTTAATAGCAAGAAAGAATGTCATACGCAAATGAAATGATTCATGAAGCACTAGTCTACCTGATTGCCCATGAGCAAAGTGACACCTTTCTCCAAAGTGGCACTGACCTGTGGTCTCCCATTTGGTACATAGTCTTGTCTTCCGAAATCCGGGCTTCATATTCACTCGGAAAGCATCTGAAGTGGGATTCAAATGCTTATTACTTTCAGGTTGATCAAAGCCATCTTGATGTCCCATCGTAGCTCCTGTAGTTGCGATGCTTATCGCAGAGCTCTCCCTTGGACTTTCTGTATCAGTCATAAATTTTGATGGAGATTCATGAAGAAAATTGCAATTCTCCCCATATGGGCACTCTTCTCCATTATAAAACTTCTTGCAAATTTTCATCCTATGTATTATCCTCTGATCATCATTCCAATCCCCTAACCTATCCTTTTCACGAACAAGTTCCTGCCAATTCAGTGGGGGATCTCGCAAATCTTCAGCACCATGGGCAAAGGTACAATGCTCTCCATTCGGGCAGTTTCTGTCCAAGAATTTTGCACACATACGGGTCTTGAAGAAAATACGACTTGTTCCTCTACTCCCCGGAAGAAATGAAGGGTTCATCCTTGGATTCATGGCTGGGAAAGGTGCAGAATTTTCTGGGTTGCTTTCAAAATTCCTTCGTCTCTTAAACGAAGCCGCATGGTCAAACTGTGAATGTGAGTTCGGATGTTCATCTTCCATTGGAGGTTGAGGCCAAAAGCCAGCAACATTGCTGTCAACAAATGGCAGTGGCATATATGGAGGTGGCGGAGGATCAGGAAAACTCATGCCGGTATGACAGGGATTAAAACTGATTCCAGGTTTATTTCCTCGTCCTTGTGAAGCAAAATATGATCAAGATTGAACTTTTTGGGGACATAAGACAGTGATGTCAATACTACTCAAGTACACCCCTGTGATGATATAAAAAATAAATAAAACATGAACATGATTAAAATTACCATTCTATAATGACAATGAATAATCAACAAAAGATATACATCCAGATGAATAAAAAATAATTAAACATAATCAAAGAACATCCAGATAGGTAATCAGACTATAACGAAACATATGTATATGTATGTCATCAATCAAGAATGAGAAAAAAAAATGAGTGAAAAACGAAACGTACCTATAAACTATCAATGCGGAACCGGAAAATCTAAAATTGCTGTTGATCAAAGAAATGAGGAACATTCAGATAATTACTTGCCCTAAAACCAAATCTTGTCTTCAAAAAATATTTAAAAACCCAGACTTTATTTAAATCAAATTCAAGAACTTTATACAAAGTCTGTATTTATGTATAAATTGGCAATGAAGAGACAAACAAACCTGAATATGACGTTGATCAAAGAATTTTCAGAGCATAAGCAAGAACACCCAGATGAGTCTACGGCCTAAAACTACTGTTTTTAAAAGAAAATCAAGAACACAAGCAGCCGGTATGGATAGGGAAACTAAACCCTAGAAACGGCTAAACCCTAGGAGATAATCATGGGTTATCTTCCTAATAAAGATTCTTAAACGGACCTTTAAGTATTTGGACAATATCAGCAATTTTTCTATTTCTGAGTTGAGGGCGTTTTTTGGGCAATTTTTTTATTTCTGAGTGACCTTTTTTTTCTCTAGGCAAAATGGTTAACTATCAGGGAATTACCTCCCTCAAAACTAGCCCGGCCCTATTTGGGAGATCAATTAGGACTTGCACAGTTAAAAAGGAGTTGAACTCACGCGTATTTGAAGGTTGGAAATCATTTATTTTGTGTTGTGATTCACGAGATTCAACTCAAGAGGTCGTTAAATTTTGAATTCACAATATCTAAATTTAGAGTTCATTCTTATCTTCAATTGAAATATCCTTTAAGACTGACGAAAGGGAATAAAACAGATTTTTCACCAAAAATATAAAAAGAAAGAACTTATGCTCATCTTATACCAATTTCAATGAGCGAAAATTTTAAAATAGAAGATTTTTTATAGGTAGAATGTTTTTTCCATTATTTCTAAGTCCAACATGATTTCAAAATAATAATTAGGTTGAATTATTATTGACAAAGAAATTTACGAGGTTATCCTATATGTGAATATTTCTTGTTTGAAATAATTTTTTGTTTTAACTTTCCTTCTTAGTACATAATGATTTATTCTATAAATAGGATACCCTGTGAGATATATTCTTTTTTCTTTTACTGCAGTTAAAATATTTAATGTGATTAGAATATAATTTTATAAGGTTAATTGTGTTGAAGTGAGTCAAATGAGCTGTTGCTGTACTTTATATTTAGGAATCTTGTGTTTTATTATATAAATATTTTGAAAATAAAAAAATAATTGTTAAAATGAAAATTTTATAATTTTTTCGATATCATTGTTTATGTCTTATGTCGTATTTGTATTTTCATTACAGAAGAAGTTAGAGTTTGAATGAGCTGTTGTTTTATGTCTTATGTCGTATTTGTATTTTTATTACATGAGAAGTTAGAATTTGAATGTGCTGTTGTTGTACTTTATTATTATTTTTTGTTGTTATGTACAATAGTGTATGACTATTTCTATGAAAAACTAATTATTATAATGAAGATCAAGGCGTCTATGTTATTGGCAGACACATAGATGAAGAGGAGCCGAAAGAGAGGAGGACTAGATTCCCCAAAGAGGATGGGATGCAAATTCTAGACTTGACATAGTTGGTTAGTGATATGGAACTCTAGTGTCACACTCTAACCGACTTGGGTGCATAATTACGATTTTGGTGGCACCTTGCACCAAGGCAGGTCATGAGATTGAATCAATGTGATGTGGTTAAGCGATTCGATAGATTGGTGTGGACTGTGGCACCATGAGATCATCCGGCTGAGCATGACAGCACGTGGTGGACTCAATTAAGGCAATGTGGATGCATAACTTTGAATTGCATGGCATGAGCTGAACTTAGCATGCACAATGGTTCGTGAGGCAAGGTTGGTTACTGAATTTGGACACATATGCTCAATGCATGTGATCAGGAGGATGTGGGCAACTGCTGAACAAAGCTTAGTCTGTGGGAAATAATTATGAGCATTCCTAGCCAGATTCTAATCCAGATGCATGTTAATGATGGGTAGTTCCACATCAGTTATTGAACGGGTGGAATTGTCTGCCAAGTGTTGCACAGAGATTATGCCTGCTGGTCAAGTTTGTTATGGAATAACAGAATGTGGGTAACTACCTTTTGGTAGATGGGGGTGTCATATGCCATAATCTTGTAGAAATAGGAATGCTTGGACATTCTGATAGTTAGAAAGAGTGTTTTGACTTTGAGAGTTCCTTGTAAATTGTTGAATTCAATATATAAAGTTTGAAAATGTTGTCCTAGTAAATTCATGTGTGTCTTCTTTGTGAGTTTCTGTCCCTTGTTCTTGAGATTGTGTGACTGGTTGTAATAGCAACGCCTGTACAAGTAGTCTCGAAACGAAAAACGAGTTGTTAGCCCGTGACACCTAACTAGTTGATTGGTTTTTAAATGTGATTTTGTTTCAAAGATTAGGCATTTAAAAGTATACTATTAGGCCCTTTGGCATTGGGATGATGAGAAGTCTTGGCCTGTAGACTAAGGTTCTTGAGACTACGGATTCATTTTATAAAAACAAAATTTCACTAAGAAAACGGTTTATTTAAGATTAGCAATTGAATCGTATCATGTTAAATTATTGTGAATTTGTATCAAATGTTAATTCACCTTAACTTAATTCATTTAACTAATCATGTCATTTTGAGTTGACCTATTTATTTTTTTATCGTGTTTGTGTTAATATTCGTGTTGACCTATAATTTAACACTAAAATTTTATTTTAAGTTAATTAAATCCATGTTCATACTTTTTCTATAAACTAAAAATTAATTTAATAAACATAATAATAATAATGATTAAAAATATATTTTTTATATAATAATTATGTGAGTATTTAATAAATAGTTACAAATAATTAATATTTTATTTCTCCAATACTAGTTAAACATGTTAATCGCGTTAATTTCGTGTTCGTGTTACAGACAAACGAGAAAATAAAGGAAGTATGTATTCTTAATTAAGTCTTTCAAAGTTATCATGATTTTGAAGTTGCTAGACTTAAAATAAATTTCCTCCACTCCACAAGGGAAAAATAGTCACCATATTCTTGAATTGAAACCATATTTTCTTTTTATACTATATCTAAACAGGTTGAGCATGTCATTTTTGGATAAAACATTATCAGGTCGTGTTTGTGTTGTTAATGGGTCTTTGTCAGGTTAGTGTCGACACGATTAAATAAACGAGTTAATCATGTCAATTTCATGTTTATCGGATTGAACTCGAACATGACCCGTTTGTATTTTGTGTTCATGTTGAATTATAATCGAGTTTGTATCATTAAATTCGTGTTGAATTCAAATTATGTCGTCTTATTGAGTCGAAAATTACCACTCTTACTCATGTACTCTAACTTCGCTAATGAGATAAAGTAATTGGCTTACTTGCTTGTTAGAGGACAGGTAGTTTACTACCAAGATCTATACTTAAAGGTTCACAATCTAATGGTTTTTTACCCAGAAAAATGTTGTTAACAATATTTTAAGAAAAAAAAAATAGTAAGATCACTCTATTATAATTGGATATCAAGAGTTCGGATTGTAAAAACTACTTCTTTTTATGCAGAATAAGACTACATATACACAACCCATCAACTGGCCACTTTTTATAAAAAAGAACATACCAGTCATATTGTATTGCTCGAGGGGTTTCCTTCTGATACAAATGTTGTATTTAGCCAATGGTATTTCTGTTAAATTTTGGATGAACTGACGATGCATTTGATGCTAACTTTTCTCTTTTATGTTCCAAAACAGGTTTAAGGAAGTGGGAAACAAACATAGAAAGATTACATGCTCGAATCTTAGCCTACAACTAATCATAATTTTCTCTTTAATTTAACTTTTCCTTGACAAAGATATTGAAAAGAAAGAACCCTACAAATATATGAACGGGAAAAAGGCCTCATTATTTGGAATTCGTCCGATTTGTATGGACTTTGAGAGATTTTTTTTTGTATCAATGATCGGAGGTGTTCGGGTCAACTTACATGTACCCCTTTTCAGTCCGGTCAAAGGCAATAATTAAAGAGCAAATGGTGCGTTGGGAGACGAGATTAATGATATGCATCAACAACTTGATTTGATATGTTCCTGCCAGGAGGAGGGTGGTGGATGCTCTGGGGTTGGACCGGTGGAATATAGTGAATAGTTGATATTATTGTTTCAATAATTTATCAATTTCCAAAATGTGTAACTTAATATGTCCTAAAAATGTTGTAAGTTCCAGATGCATCTGGTACTCATAAGTCACTCAAAGAGCCACACAAAGATGGACGTACACCATCTACACAGGTGCAATACGAGTTACCAACACTCTCACCATGTCCACTGTCTTTTGAAGAAGTTTGCCGACTCAAAATATCTTAGTTTTTCAATTTGCAACATATTTTTTCACATTGACAATATGCTTGTTCTTGATTCATTTTTCATGAAAACGGGCATACATCTACTCTTCAGTAATAGAAAAATGTAGAAAAATAAGTGATCTCGATATGATCCCCAACTAGATAATTAGACTAAAAACTAGAATACTAACTAATGTAGTTTTGACATTGCTATTTATATTGACAAATGTAGTGTTGTCTGCTTTTATTTTGTAGATGTTGGAGATATAACAACCTAGTTTATTAGAGTTTTTTCTTTTTTACCTTTTTATCCTTATTGTAACTGTTATTGTCTATATATACTAAGACTCTACACTTAGTTTGTATCCCTTTTTGATTCACTAATAAATCAAGTTAGTATTAGAGCCAAAACCCCTAACCCTAACCCTACCCCTAGCCCTAGCCCCTTTACCACGATTGCAGCCACCATCTCCCATTGCCCATCATCATCATACCAATCCATCTTTTACGACTACCCAACCTCAATCCTCATCACACCAACTGCCCAAGCACCTTCAGCTGTCCACCGAAACCCAAAACACCAGTCGATAGCCATCACTCCACCGATTGCCATCCTCCACTCCATACCAAACTGAGACACCCAAACACCAGTCGATACCCATCACTCCACCGACTACCATCCTCCACTCCATACCAAACCGAGACAATCCCACAGCCCCATAACACCAACCTACCGATAGCCAACATATACCAAGGTATCAACCAACATATACCAGCCCACCTTTCCAGCAAACCAATATTGGGTCACTGTCCAGCCCACTGCCCATATTAAATCAAACCAAACCAACCATTATTCGAAACCCAAACCAACCCACAGCTCACTGTCGGGTAGTTTTTTTTTCGTTGTAGCTTCGTCATTCACATACTTCATCATAGTGCTACCAAGTTGCAGTATCTAGGACTTTTTTAGGAGGGAGCAGATCCTCTTCTCTGATGCTCTGTTGATTTATTTTTCATGTAGTGGATCACTTTTATATTTTTTGAATTTCTAGGCACCCATTACTTGATTATTTAGGAGCTTTCTGGACCTTTTTTATCTGTCACTACTATTCAACT